CCCCAAAACCCCAAAACCCCAAAACCCCAATAAACACGAGCTTAATTGAAACCCTGAAATATATTAAAAGTAGCCAAGTGTCAAATATGGAGAAAGCAGGATTTAAGCCAAAGAAGTAAAAACAAAAAATTTAGCCAAGATTTAAAAATCATCAATTATGTTAACTCCTCCAAGCTGGTTTTCTTCAAAGACTTGTTCAATCTTATTTTGGGTTATTCCGCAGTCATAGACATATACTTTTTCAAGACTCAATCTTAAATCTGGAGAGCTTGCTAACCCTTGTACCAAGTTATCGAACTCGTCGAAGTTGTTCTCCCAATCACTATTATCAGAGTCTCCTGCTCTGTATAAATCTATTTCCTGGATTTGGCAATTCTTCAGAGCCTTTGATAAATCAGGAACACTTGGGATAGATAGCCTGCACCATCTCAATCCCAAAGTTCTCACATGTCTGAAAGCTGCCACCAGCCTCTTGAGTCGGGGCAGGCCGATTCTGAAATTTTTAAATAAAACTTTTTGAACGACTTTGGAGCTGAGTCTGGTCAGGAAGTTTAAGTAGTTGGACCTTTTCAGATCCATTCTGCCACTGCACCAAAAATCGAATTTCTTAATTTTATTTGGGAATGAGGATTGTAAGAAATTTAAAACAAAACGCCTATTTTTAGAATCAACCTGACCCAAAACAAGCCAATCTATATCAAAAAGCTTAAGACACTTTAAACATTTCAACGGGTTTTCATCTCTGATGTCGTTCGTCCCAATCCAAAGTTCACTGTTTCCTGAAACTCCTTCGGAGTCTGAATCCGATGGCTCAACTTCTTCATCTGGACGAACCTTATAGAGGATGCTCTGGAATGTGGTGACCTCTTGCTCTTTGGCTTCTTCCAGGACAGACTTCTCTAGGCTGCACAATTAGAGGCGGACGGGGAGGTAGATCAGTGTCAGAATCTGTCAGAAAGTTGGAGATGGAAGGATGCTAATTTATATTTTGAGAAATCCCAGGTTTAAGTCTTTAGGAGAAATGTTGTCTGTGGAGGTCCAAATAAATCTTTGAGAGGCAAGGCTTATAAACTCTCTCTAGTTTTGCTATGAACTTCTCGATCAAGAAATTTTCGGTGAAATTATTATAAAAGTTGGCAAATGTTGATTAAACTTTAAAGTTTTGGGACTTGTTACAAATTTAAGAATGAAAACTCAGAGTTCTCTAAACTGAATTTACAGTTACCTGATTTTCTGAATATTTTCTTGTTTAATAGCTTTGGTAAGACCTTCCATTTTATTATTATAAAATCTTAAATTAAAATTTTAATTTTCAATATGTTTGCAGAGGAGTGGGGTTTTGGGGTTTTGGGGTTTTGGGG